GCTTGTCTTGAGCCGAATTGCACACTTTGTGAAAGGTGCAAAAATAAGGAATGGGAAGTTCAACCGTATATTAGGGTTCGGTTTGCTCATTGGTGAGATTATCAAAAGGAAAGGGTTGACTATGAGGTCAAAGAAGCCTTTTGGGAGTAATAGAATCTTGTTTAAAGATCATGAAGTGATTAGTGATCTAAATTCCAAAAGAAAGAGGAAGCCGAGAGGTATCCCAGCTAGAAAAAGACCAGTTGCAGAAATTCTTGGTCTACCCTCTCAATCCCATGAAAACCCTACATCAAGCCAAAATCCAAACACAAGCCATAACCCTACCTCAAGCCTTAAGCCTACCACAAGCCAAAATCCTATCACATGTCTTAACCCAAATGCAAGCCAAAGTCTCTTAAATCCTTTTTCCCAAATTGCCGAATTGGAAACAATGTTGAATGAGGAGATTCATCAAGTTGAAGGTTTAGACTTTGTATTAGTGAATGAATACCGTAGAGTCCTAAATTGGAGAAAATGGAGACTTGGTCCTTATGATGAGTTGATGACTAAGGGACCAAGTATGCATGAAGAAGAATTGTTTTCATTAAATTGGATTGGCAATTTTGATGTTTGCCATGCAACCTTGTTGTCTACGGTGAATGGAGCATTTGTGAATAAATTGAAAGCCAAATTGGCCGAAGCTACTGTTGACTGCACTGTTCAAAGTGATTTGCCTACTAAAGAAAATTTTTTAGTTGATATGGCCGAATTTGTGACAAGGGATGTTGAAGAAAATGTCACGTATGGTGTACATTTGATGGATAGTGGCTTATATGATGTGAGTGTGTTAAATCTCACTGAAATAAGTCAAGACCAAAATGCCATGCAAGCTAGTCAACATACAGAGGAAATTCAATCTATTAATGCAGAAAGTGCACATGGTGACACTCACGTGCTACACACTCCGGAAAGGGAAGGAAATCTAGTGGAAAATCAAGTTCAATCTCACATGCTTGAAGCCAATTTTGCTCAAGAAGGAGCAAGGTGTTTTCCCTCATCCCGAGAAGAGCAAGAACTTGATGGCACACCTACAAATGAGAAATTAAAAAATCTGGAGAATGTTGTCTTAAGCCTTGTTGACCGAATGGAAAGCATGTTTCAAGGGATCTACACTCATGTGGATCAAGTTGTCAATATTCAAGGTGGAAAATTCGAAGCATCTTTTGATGAAAATCGGAGAAGTCAACAACATTTGATTGATACCCACCAAGCACTTGAAAGACAAGTTGGAAGTTTGAATAACAATGTCAAAGGGCAACTCAATGAGTTCTATATCCAACTTTCCCAAATCCTCAAGAATTCTGGAAAGGCAAATGAAGCAATTGTCGTGAGCCAAAGCCAAGGTATTCTCAATGTTGTTCATCAACATGAAAAGCAGATTAGTGATGTCCACACGGATCTCATCTCAGTTAACACCAAAGTGGGCTGTCTTCGGGGTTCTTATGAGAATATTTCCGAATCCATTTCATCTCTTCGTGAATCGGTTCATACACTTCTTGATTACGCCAAAAAGGGGGAAGAGAGATTCAGTCATTTGGAGAGCATGATTGAGATGATGATGACTGCCATGGCTAGCAGAAATGTTGGCACAAGCAGTAGTAGAGGTGGAGGAGGCAGATCTGCTGGAAGAAATGCACCAAGAAGAGGAGGATTGGAGTATTGGTTCGGTGGTGGTGAAGCTGGCAGTCCAGGAGGATCAAGCAGTGCAAATACCACTAACCGTTCTTTTCGTGATATTGTTTGTGCAGGAGGAAACATTGAGCAAATAAATTGGTACAACCGTGCAGCTCTTTATTTGGAATCCACACCGAGAGATGGTAGAGTTGAAATGCCAAAGTTGGTGACTTTGAATGATCTACCAAAAGGAATGAAGAAAAGTGGTCCTAGTGATCAAAACATGTGGGTTTCAAGTGAAAATTTCAGAAGAATTCAAAGCTATGCTAGAGCCTTGATGATTATGGTTCTAAGGGACTACATCAAAGTCAATGATGCCGAGCTACAAGATGGAAAAAGTCTAGAAGAGTGCATCATATGGTATGAGGAAGGTATACTGCCCGGGAGCAACATCACTGAAGCTTTCAACTACTATTCAGTTGGGCAGGTATGCAACAACTTTGCCATTAGTGACAATTTCGTTGATGTTCAGAACAATATTAACAATGTGCTCAAGGAAAAGAGAAACAAAGTGATTAGATGATTTGTATGATTGGTGCAATTTTTGTGGTCCACGGGTACATGAACCCATGAAACAATTTGGAATGATTTGAATTATCTGTTTATGATGCTATTAAGTTGTTTCTTAATTTTATTATTTGTCTTGAAAGGTAATATTTTTAGCTTAGAGTGTATCAAATCGCATGAATTGGAAAAATGCAAAAATTCATTATCATTAAAATTCCAAAAATGCGAAATAGGATTATAGTGGCTAAAAATACCTTTCCTAGAGTCAACATCAAATGTTAAACTCGTCTTGGCTATGTCTAAGTTAATAAAATCTTTTGAAAAATAATTGTTTTTAAAAGACAAGCCAAATGACTGAGTATAGGTTTTGGCGTCATCAAAAAGGGGGAAAATTGATAGGAATATTTTTGTAAATTTTGATGAGCCAAATGTATCTTTAGATCCCCTTAGTTTTTAAGTCTTTAGTACAAGCATCATAAATCAGAATATTGAAATCAGAAGGAATCTACCATAGGAAGAACAAAATTAATTTGAAAAATTAATTTTGGTCCTACGAGTATCATCCGTGAAAGAAGCATAAAGCAATGGCGTTGCAAGGAATAACCGGATGAGTTTAACGGCGAAATGGTAGAGGCCTTTACTCTAAACAATTACACCCGAGATTGATTCCTCCTAAGGACTTATGTTTTTTATAAGGCAGATTTTGAAAGAGCACGATGTGTGCTAAAGGAGCACAATGTGTCCGAAGGAGCACAATGTGACCAAATCTGAAAGGAGGACAATGTTATCTAAGAAGCACAATGCTGTCAGAAGAGCACAATGCCGTCTAAGAAGCACAATGCTGTCAGAAGAGCACAATGTATCGAAAAAGAGAGTCAAGGAGCACGATGTTCAAGTCAAAGGAGCACAATGTGGCAAAAGAGCAAGATGATCAGAAATTGGATAAATTCGAAGGAATTTACTCCAAGTCCACCCACATGCCACAAGACTCCAAAATTGCCTGAAAGACATTTGATCAGAACGGAAAAATATTTATGAAGGCATGAATATAAAAACTTATCCTAGAAATAAATTCTATCAGATGAATTTATTTCAAAGATTCGTTGGATATTCAAATTGATAATTAAAGTAATATTTTTAGAAACAACTAGAAAATCAAAGTTGTGCTAAAGAATTACTTTGTCAGGCAAGTTGACAATCAAATCAAAATTGAAGACCTACTATTGTCAACAATATCAGGCTATGAAGATTCAAATTTCAAATATCAAATTATCCCACTCCAACGGATATATTTGATTGACTATAAAAAGCCATGAAGACTTGAAGACAAAGTGTGTGTGGAGCAGAGGTGAACGAGATAGAAGTGCAATACACACCAAAATTCAAAAGTGCTAGTGCTCAAAATATTCTAAGAGACTTAGTCTGAATAGTCTCAAATCTAGTTGGAGAGAGAAATACAAATCCTTGTATTTGTAAATTGTAGAAAGAGTATAGCTGTGTGCAAAATACTCTAGTGAGTGTAGCTGTGTGCAAAACACTCGTAGTTGCTAAGTGTAGCTGTGTGCAAGACACTTGGTTGGCGTTGAGTATAGCTGTGTGCAAAATACTCGGAGTTGAGTGTAGCTGTGTGCGAGACACTCGGAGCAGGGTGTAGCTGTGTGCAAGACATCTGGAAGAAGTGCCTGTGTAGCACTTGTTCACTATTGTAACTGTGTGTGGAAAATAGTGAATTTCTCCTAGACGTGAAAGGAGAAAAGTGGACTAGGAAGATTATGCCACTTCCGAACCACTATAAATTGCGTCTCTCATTTACATACCGCACTTACATTATTTGCTATATCTATCTATCTCATCCGACTAACCCGTTTACTATTCACAGTTAATCTTAATCATCCGGGTTTAGTGTGTTCTCACGTATGCATGTGACTCAAACTTCTCGAGCTTAAATACTAATTTATTCTAAGCAAGTTTGACGTGCTGCATGTAACATTCGTCACACGGACGACGTGACACGATATTTATTTACAATCTTGAATATTGTTATTATATATTGAGTGCACCATCTCCTTTATATATTCAAGATATCTCTGTCACTTTACATATCATTTGTACCTATCTTACTTATACTTGCACACTTAATTTACTAGTTGGGCATAACTCTTTACTATTATTCCGCTGTGCAGTACAAACTTGCTCTATTTACTTGTTACTTAGAGTTGAAGTTACCGAAGAGTTATTTGATTTGAAAAAGCTTGAAAGTCTATTCACCCCCCCCCCCCCCCTCTAGACCTTCACCACCCTATCGGGACCAACAGAAATAACACTAACAAAGGATGAATAAAAATCACAAAGACCAACAGTCTTAGATAACCTTCTAGAAATTGAATGATTTCTAGTTTCACTCCTTTGAGAAGATAAAATGCCCCCGGAAAAATAATCCTTGTTAAATACTAGACACCACTTCTCCCTACAATCATAAAGTTTCTCTAGCCAAGTATTGTTATGACACTTATACTCAGTCACCAACGTGAAAGTTACAAGACACATTTACTAAGCTTATATGAAAGAAAACAACAATAAAAAAAAAAAAAAAAAAAAAAAAAAACAGAATACGGTATATTCATAATTTCTATATTGAATATCCATAATTTCTATACTGAATATCCATAATTTCTATGTTGTAGATCCGTAATATATAAACAACATATTCATAATTCCTATACTGTAAATACACAATATGAATGACTGAGTCCAATCACAATACTCTACATTCACAATTTCTATATAGAATATCCATTATTTCTATGCTGCAGATTCATAACTTCTAAACTGCATATTCATAATTCTTATCCTCTTAAATACACAATATGAATGACTAAAGTCCAAACAGGATATTGTACATTCATAATTTCTATATTGAATATCCATAATTTCTATGCTGCATATTCATAATATACATTCATAACTGCTTACTATAAAAACACATCTCCAATGCATAAAACCCAGTGAAAACAGTAAATAATAACATACCTTGTCCAATAAAATTCAAACTCAGCTTCAGTCTCGGTGTATTTCAACAAACAGTTGAACATATCCAAAAAATCATTATGATTCCTTAACGCCTTGATATGCTTCTTCGAATTTTCGCCAATATGCCATATGCAAATATGGTGGCGTGATGTAGGAAATACAATAGAAATGGCAGTAGCCATAGCTGCACATTGATCCGTCATGATAGATTGTGGACACTTGCCATCCATGGATCTTGAAAATGCTCTAAACAACCACACAAATGACTCTATCCTCTCGTTCATCAAAAAACCACATCCAAACATTACATTCATGCAATGATGGTTCATCCCTACAAAAGGACCACAAATCATATCATAATTGTTAGTGCGATATGTTGTATCGTGCACTAACAAATCCCCAAACAACTCATAATCCCGTCTCATTTGACCATCCATCCAAAAAAAACTACACAATCTTGCATCCAAATCAACTTCAAAATAAAATTTAAAAAAAAAAAAAAAATCAGCCTCATTAGACTGCATCCTCCTAAATATTTCAATTAAAGAATTGGAATCGGTTCCATCCAAACACTTCAAACTCTCACAAGCCATCGAATTGTAAGCATCCCGGCTGGTGAAAACAACCAATGGAGACCCCCTTGATTGATGTTTCAAAAACCTCATACCATCCGCCAATGCAACCCCACTCTTCTTCATATCCTTTAAATATTCAAGATGATTATTTCCCACTCTTCTATGTGAACGGGGTAGATGACTCTTGCCAAAAGAACATAACTCATGATTGTGCTCTTTCACATGTTTTGTAACTGTCCACATCCCATTCCCATCCACATCAAACTGAACAAGTGTACCATAACCGGTCCTTATATCAATTTTTGAATAAACCTTGACACCACTATTTGGTTTCTCCTTATAACCAACCTTAGCACAGAAGAACCTCTTCATCTGAATTGACTTAGTAGATGCCTTGTAACGTTGTTGACACTTCCTCACACTAAAACCAACTCTATATGCATATCCATTACATAACTCATAAGCTTCATCACTATTACTTACTACAATACCAACCCAAATCTTCATCAACTGCAATTACAAATATATATATATATATATATATATATATATATATATATATATATATATATATATATATATATATATATATATATATATATATATATATATATATATATATATATATATATATAGGGTGCGGATCCCATGAGACCCCCTTATAAAATGAGATGGTGAGATGACATCCCATCCATTTGTTAAATTGAAATGGATGGATGAGATTAATGAGGAATTTAATGCTAAATAAGTTTATTTTTTAAATAGGGGGTGTAAAAGTAATTGTATGCATGTGGTATTTTTGGTTATAAATAGATTGGAATTTTTGCCATAATCAAAGATTACAAATATTATGGAAATAAACAGTATACAAATATACTCCACATGTATAATATTACTGTCGTTATGTTCTGATATTTGATTGTAAGTAGGGTGCAGAGGTTGAAGATGGATGACAACACAGGTATGAGACTTGTTATCGTTAATAATTCTTGAATCATTATTCGTAGGTCTGTGCTTGCGTGATAATAGGTCTGTGCGTCGAATAAGTTATTGTTTGGCTGGCTGTGCGTGCGTGATAAAAGGCATGTGCGTCGAATATGTTTACAGTAGTGGTGTTGAATTGTTTGGCTGCCTGTAATGAACTTAATAAGCTAGGGGATGAAGAAACATGTGGGATATTTATATGATGTTTTCTGTTGGCGTTGTCCTGCGTGCAATACAAGGGTTTTGATGCGATGTGACATTCATCAAGGGTTCGGAAATTATTTTTATAATAATGGATGTGCGTTAAATCCCTTGTGTGCTCATTTTGTATGAATTAGACGGTATGTGTGTTATTTGGTTAGTGTATTAACCGGTTTGTGCGTTCTTTTAATGCGGAGTGTGCACCATAAGCAATAGAATTATAATGGGTGTGCCTGGAATGAAGTAGTTTGTCCCTAAAATAAGTACTATAATGTGTGTGCGTGAAAGGAATGTTGTATATTAATTTGGAATGAATAAGACGGTATAGCTGTTATTTGGTTAGTGAATGGAATGGGGTGTGTGCATTTTTTAACGACGGAGTGTGAATCTTTGGGAATAGTAATATGGTGTATGCATTTTTTAACGACGGAGTGTGCATCCTTGGGAATAATAAGGGCCAACTACGCACGAACCAGTGCCAACAAACCCTGATTACAAATATTTACATTTCTAGAGTTATAAAATGCACAACATCGGATACGTGACATAAAATAACAATGGCCAATAGTAAAAAAGGAAATTACTAAAACAAACACATGCAAAGAAATGCAAGAACCACCCCCCTCCCTCCCCAAAAGCAGTATTACAGCAACATGCACACGTCAATATCCCCCCACGCACATACTATTGTGTGATATGACTTTGACCCAACACAGACCATGATGGCACGCACAAACCTAATACACAGAAAAATGCACCCACTAACTACCAACTACGCACAAACCAGTGTCAACACACCCCCCGACTATGCACAAACCAGTCTCTTTTGACAAGCATTGAACCGCCTCATCATTGCAACCAAGTGCTTGGGAGAAGCACGAATCTTCAAAAGCGGAAATAGTATCAAGTTGTTCGCATCTAACCCATCATCCTCCTCGTCAGAATTCGTGTCCGGTGGCGGAACAGAGGGTGCTTCAACATCCTCGGAGGGCATCACATGTACAGCCTCTACCGCATCTACCGTCTCTGCAGCCGTGACACCTAGACATACCAAAAAAAAAATCACTATGAGCAACAAAAGTTACCACATAACAGATAAAAACATAACCAAACTCCTGAGCACCCACTTTTCCCCCCTAACGCACAAACCAGAATCAGGATCCCAGCAGCCCAATATTACGCACTAGCTTATAACTTAAAACGCACCAACCAATTAGCAATTACAGTATTACACACAAACGTCACTCCAAGAACGCACACACTAATTGCCAGTAAAATACGAGGAACAATATTATAATAAATGAGAACATGACAAGCCAATCACGATTAAAGGTACCTTACATACCAAAAAAAAAAAACAAACAAACAAAAAACAAAATATATTCCGGATACTTAAAACAAAACCAACATTAATGAACCCAAACTTCAAATATGTCCTACAAAGCACACACACATCCACACACCACCGTACACCCGCATATTCGGATCCTAAAAATATAACATTACGCACAAGCCTAAACCGTAGAACGCATCAACGAATTACTAATTACAATATTACGCACAAACCCCATACTAATAACGCACACAGTAATTACTACTCTCATATGCTACGCAATATTTAATGTGGAATAAACAGATGTAAATCACTAAAAGCTATGGTGGATTAGATGAATGGGATACGAATTTGATGAGAATATTAAGTTTATAAAAACAAAATAAAATATAATATATGAATTCAAGAATTCAAAAAAATAACACCAATCTTACAAATACCTCAATAAAATAAATACAATTATCTAATCACCCATTTTATTAACACCTGTGATTTGTTTAGAGACTTAACGCTCAAGCCTAAAACGTAGAACGCTTGAACAAATTACTAATTACAATGTTACGCACAAGCTGAAAATGTAGAACGCACCAACCAATTAGTAATCAAAGTATTACGCACAAACGTCGCACAATGAACGCACATACTGCAAAGACCAAAGACTTTAAGGGAGAAAGCACATCATCTAAGTGGAGATGCATATGCTGGTATTAAGAGCATGGAAAAAGCACTCTCTGATACACGATCAAACCCCCACCTCCACTAAAAACAAAGAAAACCCTATTAAAACTCTAACTAACAAACCTACACACCACACACCCCCTCCTCTGCTACAAAATCAAACCAGAACCCCATCCCCCATCCCCCACGCCGCCACTCATAACCCAAAAAAAAAAAAAAGGAAAAAAAAAAAAGCAGTAATAAACCCAAACACACAAAAAATTAACCAAAAAACACAACAATAACGAGAAAAAGGAAAAACCGAGAAGAATCATACCTTGCACATGGACGGTGACAGATTACTTTTAACGTTTGGATCTTTGAGTCGTAGAATCGTGAGCAACTGTGAAATTCGAGGTCAGCGTGAAGAGCGCCGGTGGAGAAAATTGACAGAGGGGGAAGTGAATCGATAGGGGTGATGTGAAGAGACACTGGTTCGAATTCTAAAACTTGAAGTTTATTTGATACCAAAAATAACGCTGCCTCTACTACACACGCGCGCTATAATTAAGGGATCAGAATTAATAACACAAGCAAAAGACCACAATGACCCTAACTCCTTTACAAACCATCAGCACATGGGATCCAAAACCAAAAGATCAAAACCGTTAAAAAATAAAAATAAACGAACCAGATTACATCTTACCGTCTCATCAAAATATGAGTCTCATTGGATCCAATATCTATATATATATATATAACCACGAGTATAACAACTATTGACTTTTGACCAGCCATACTCTACAAAAGAATAAAAATTCCAACCAGAAATATATAGGACAGAACAATTCTGCACATTATGAATGTACAGTTCAACTATTATGAATATATAGCTCAAATATTATGAATGTACATCTCACATATTATGAATCACACATTCAATGGTTTCAACACACATCACACATAAAAGACATAATACTACCAGTAACCCCATTCACATTAAAAGCTAAGAATAAAAAACTGGACTTGAAGAGGAGCCATCAATGTCAATGTTTACATCTGCTTGATTAGTACTTAATGAATCACCAACAAAATCTTCATTCACTGAATATATGAAAACAGAGGAACTTAGCAGTTAATATGTTATGAACATAGAACTGTCAAATTATGAACATCCATAACACATGCAAAAACAGAGTATCAATACCAATGTGAATATACAGTTCACATAATTCTAAATGTAGAACTCAACAATTATGAATTTACAGTTGCGACATTATGGACATTCAAACTGCATAGATTCTGAATAAACACCAGTAAAAGCAAACTAAATATCAAGTACATTGCAAATAATGACCATAAATCGCAAAACCCTACAAACACACATTGAATAAATTATAATGCTCACACCACAATCTCGCAATAACAAACACAAATTTAAATTCTAATTCAATTTCAAGCTCATAAAATCTCAAACTAACATAAAAAATCACATAAATCAAACGCAAAAATCGCAGAAATCGAATGCAAAAAACCTGGAATCGTAGTGTCTCCCCGATCCGCTGTCTCCTCCATCGACGAATTCAAATTCGCAATCGCGAATGGAAGAAACGAATTGAATAACAACAAACCATAAGCAATTGAAACTGCCAAAACGCGAATGGAAACTACCTGCCAAATCACGACTAACGCCATTAACAACACATTAACTAATTTTTTTTTTAAAACTAGTACGGTGTCGTTTTCGGTAAAAACGACGCCGTTTTGGAAACGTGTTCACAAAGCATGGTGAACACGTTTTCACGGCATAATTTGCGCTCTCTTTCTCACCTCTGAGTTGTACGTAATTATGAGAAAGTGTTTTTTTTATTATTATTATTCAAGCATTTGTATTATGAATTGGGCCCAGGTATTGGACCTTTCTAGCCCCATTTTTTTCTTTTGAGCCTAAGATAAAAGAAATTTTGGATTTTAATTTTGTTTGGGCATATGTTTATTTAAATCATCTTATGATGTATATATATATATATATATATATATATATATATATATATATATTAATTTGGGTCAGCCATTTTTTCAAGAATTGAAAACAAAATATTTTTGTAGCATTGTTATCCAATTTATTATTTGAATTTTGTTTTTGAATATGCTCATATTTTAAATTTCTATTTTGTGCAATTTATTTGGATAATATGTTTTTTTTAAGTTCCTATGCATACTCTGTTATATTAGCATAATTTATAGTTTTTTAAAAAAAAAAAAAAAACAAAACAAAACACTTTATTAAGTAGAAAGCAAACACAAAGTCCAGATGGGCTAAGGCCCCGCATGGCTAAGACCCAAAAAAACCACAAAAACCAGATTACATGAAAAAAGGCCCCATGGCTATAAACTAGAGGCCTCAGCTTATGCCATCACATAACTAGCACAAACCACGGTAGGCTAAGAAATAGGAAGAAAGCTAAGTACGGTGATGAATAAAGGGCTGTGGACCAGCTCATCTGTAGATGCCACAATGGAAAGAACTACCACCACGCCACCATCCTGTCATACCCGCTAGTACTCACAACCCAAGTCTTAAAAACACAAGACTATCTTTACTACCCGGGCCTTCCTACAAGCAGCAAAGGGACAGCCATCTTGTCATCATTAAGTCACGCCACCATGCCGCCTCCCTACAACGTTGCAATGCAATGTCTCAGCACCACAATGCAACCAAGCAGGGCTGCTAGCACAACCGTAACAACTCCTCTATTGCTATTGACTGCCCTGTTACATTCCAAATAAGATCAACCAAGACAACACAGCTCACAAGCCAAAAGCTAGGTCTGAAATAATGTATGAAAATGCGCACAGGCAGGAAACGGCTCGCAGGCCAAAACATAGGCCCGCAGGCCAAACATAAAGTACAGAGCAGCCAATAACAACAAAACTTCCGACCGGCACCAGCAACAGAAACCAGACCCCTAACGGATGGGCCAACAGCAAGCCTGGACTACCGCCAACGGATTTGAAAAACCCCTACCCGGCCACCGTTCAGCCCCGGCCAGGATGCAATTTCTTAGCGCTTGCACCAATGTTGAGATCTGGTCTATCTCAACGAAGCCCGCAAAGGCGAAACCAAGAAAGCATATAGACCAGCAGCACCTCTGAGGCCAACGAAAACAACCTACAAAAGATGAAACATGACCGAACAAGCAAGTATCATGTTTCATTAACCCTAACAACTCATGTTCTATTGAGGTAAGTGTATAAGGAGAATAACAGGCAGACACGAAACAAAAAGCGACCCCCGTAGTAACCCCGCCCCCCACGGAGTCCAGAAGGGACTCAGCTACTATTGGCCAACAGCAAGCCTGACCAGGTCAACGGATTTAACTAGTCCTGCCCGGCCACCGTTAAGCACGAGCTAGGGAGCCTCTTGTACCGCTGGCACCTGCGTTGAGACTCAACCCCAGCGAGCCAGGGGGCCTCATCGTCTCCGAGAATCCTCCTCACACCCTCAAGTCTTTTGCCTCACTCTTCTTTTCACTTTTCCTTCTCTCGATTTTCTCTCGTTTCCTTTCCTTCTTTCTGTTTATTCTTTTTTCTTTTTCTTTTTTCCTTTTTCTTTTTTCCTTTTTTCCTTTTTTCTTTTTCGTTTTCATTCTTTTTTGTCTTTTTTCCTTTTTTTCCTTTCGTTTTTTCTTTCCCTTTTTTCAAACCAAGCAAAACAAAAGTACAGAAGCAAAACAAAAAGCAGAAAGCAAAGCAAGAGAAAAGCTATAATCACGGTGGATCGTACATGTCAAAGAAAACATAGGGCACATCATCATTAGCAAGTAGAACGCGCACCCTGGATAGTAGATCAGCAAAACATGAAAAGCGAGCCTCCCATGGCTTGTTAACAACCCAGTCAGCTAAAGCCTGAGCCGACAAGTTAGCCTTAGCTGGGCACAAACTGGCAGAGACAAACCCACATGAACACAGAAAACGGAGCCGGGATACCACATCATCTAGCGCCCACGGCGGCCGGATCGAGACATCAAGATAGCTTCCCAACTTCGCTATTGTAGACTCCAACATAACCTCCGTCTAGTTTTGATTATGCGGATTATAAATTATGCTTTATAAATGAACCTACGAGCTTAGCCAAACTTCGTATACATAGATATATGTTTGAAAGATATATATCATGGCTATTATCACCAAGTGTGATCTTATCACACTTGTTCTGGACGGGAGACATTATTTAATATGGATTAAATCTATGTCACCTTGAAAACACGATCATTAAGAAGTCCCCGAGCGATGCATCCCAAAAAGCCAACACCTTAATTTTTCTTATGTCATGAATACCTTCCTGCAAAGGACCCTTATGCCTTATAGAAATTCCCGTAGGATAATTTTGACTAGTACATACTAATGGTCCTTTCTAAAATCACAATTTTACTGTCTTACCTTGATCTTTCAAAACTTTAAATCAAATGACTAATTCTAAATCAGCTATACGCAAAATTGTGTCCCAACTAAAGTTGTGTAAGTAGAATGTTTATAGCACAAATTTGATTGTCGAGACATTGTCTTCTTTTCCACAACACTCTCCTCCCATAACTGTAGAAGCACAACCAAATGTTGTTGCAAATCTGTAATGCATGCCTAGCTGGCTTTGCACCGATGCCCGAAGCACACGATGTCGCCTAATTGTGCAACATCAAGAGCGGCTGAGGAAGAAGACGGGGAAGAGGTAAGGCCAAGATTGCAACAACAATAACTCCTGAAACTAGAATAAAAAGCAAAAATGATCTAACTCATCAAAAACAACCAAAAAATCACAACTTTAGCCCAACAGCAAGTTATGCTTCACGTATGGGTGTAAAAGGCACTGCTCACATGTGTGCCATACCCCGAAGCATTTTGCTGAAACCTGAACGACTAGCACCATGTTGAATGCAACAAAGTTTCCTTGCCTGAAGTAAGGACTCTTGTTAGTCATAAGATGGATAACGCTGATGTATTCAACTCGTCACTTTTTGACGATTATTGTATGGCACTAGGCATTACAATGCCTTATGAACACACCTAAAAGGGTTTGGCTGAACCTCTAAATTTAAATTGTTTGGTAAACCATTATTTCAAAACTCCAATGTGCCGGATACTTGTTAGGGAAATGCAGTATTCATGCTGCTACTTTAATTCTAAAAATTTCGGCACACTGCATATTCTTATTCACCCTTACATCTAATACGTGGATTTCAAACAAACATTTACCAAATCTACGTTTTTAGTCTTATGAATGCAGTCCAATCTATTTCATAACCACCATAGCATACCTCTAAACCTCCATTTGTTGTCTCAAATATTGCCCTTCAAAGAGACACAATGGACACACTGACTGCATGAAGATCGGTTCACGGCATTAGGGGGAGATATTATCAAATTTAAATGAAATGTCAAGAAATTTTATGGAATGAAAATGATCTTCAAAAATTAAATCCACGTACCAATTAGACTGAACTGGATGTTCAGAAAGAAACCAAACATATCTGTCAAATAAATCTATTTCATAAAAAGAGTGACTAGGTCCCATACACATTCCCCAAATTCGACCATATATATATATATATATATATATATATATATATATATATATATATATATATATATATATATATATATATATATATATATATATGTATATCAATACTCATTGACGCCAGAAGCGCATGAGATTCATTAATATATAAGAATCCATAACAACTAGATCTAGTAAAGAATTATTTGTCACTCTTGAAAATCTTAGAGCTCTTGAAAAATCTTAAAAAGTTATATCTTTAAGACGAACGTCCTGACGACGAGAAAAACGCAGTAAAATTATAGGTTCACCAAATAATCATATTACTGGGTTGCGGAACAACCAGATATAAATATCCTTGAGAAATGGCTGTAATCTGGTTAACTTTGAAATTTACTTTTATATATATAGGAGAAATTCTTGAAAAATGTTATAAGTTGTCGACAACACAATTGCCGTAAAAAATGCTCATATTATATGACAATCTGGATCCAGAGCTAGGTGTCAGAAGCGCCTAGATTGATTAACGTATAAAGAGAGCAATTAAAGGCATATATATAGCTCAACTCGCTAATATATTTCTTTTATACACCATTGAAGCTTTATTAACCTAGTAGGTTACAAATGGTGTTTGTATGAAGGAAACAAGAATGATAAGGTGGTGAGATATAAAGCGAGTCTGTAGCCTATGGGTTCACGCAGAAACCCATAATCAAGTATACTCTCCCATGATGAATATCATTAAAAGTTCCGCTACATAATTGGCATAATAATAAATTTAGATATGTAGCTTATTGAAGTCATGACCTAGAACCACTAATATTTATCTGGAAAATCCTTGATGGATTTATAATTCTCAAAATGAAAGAAAGTAAATATCACAACATGTTTATTGTTGAAGTACAAATGCTTTACTTAACTTAAAATAGTAAAGTAATTGATTCAGTAATTTCCTCTTAAAATTGGAAATTATAGAAATAAATATGTACCATTAGGTACTTATTAAGGGGCTTATTACTGCCAAAAAAGTAAAAGATCCAATTAAGGGGCTTATTGTAAAATAAAGGAGATGGAAAATCAAGTATTATCTCGACCTGTAGATCTAGCATTTCCTTAAAAGGAATTTCACTCACTAATTAGTCTATGTCCAAAATAATCTCCCGGAGTAGATAAAGGACCATTTTAACCTAAAAGGATAATTCAGGACCAGAAGTCCGCTGCTTAAAAACGTCATTTTTGAATACCTTTTTTTTTAGAACGAAAATTCCCAAATTCGCATCTTCTTTTTGTAATTTGTAAAGAGTGATTTGATGATTCTCCTAGAAAGAAAAGGAAATGGTGTTAAATAATATCCACAAATATCCTTAGGGTATAAAATATGTATTTCGAGAAGTTATTTGAATATTGGCATTATGTTGAATGCCATGACTTGGATTGATATATTATAAATCAATTTAAGTTTTAAGCATCTTAAAGCCTAAAGGATAATACTTGTTCTTATAGATGTATTTTGTATATTTTCATCTCGTCATTATTTTACTATGTTCTCGATTTGTCATAGCGACTATTAAGTTATGAGATGAGATAAGGAATAGCAAATCAAGGTACAAATATTCATATTGATGCTCTTTGACATGAAGTCATCATACTTGGGACAAATAAAAATGTATATAGTTTTTCATGATATAAAATACCCTGATCCACATGAACTCCAGAAGAGTGATAAAATATTTGTCTTAGAAGATTTGTTCAGTGACAAGTTAGCAAATGTATATCTACAAAATATCCATAAGATTGATATGTGTAGGTAAAGAAAATTATTATATTTAGGGGGAGCAACAAAATATAAATTATAAATAATTTTATTGGTCTAGATGATCGTGAGAAAATATGATAAATTCTAATGACAATCCTGAAGATTGTACCATATCCCTTCTCTACACCTTTTTGAAACAATGATTTTACTTTAAGCAATGTAGAATTTGAAGATTGTTATCTTCAAGGGGAGACGGGAAGTACATTATATTCACTCGAGTCAATCCTGTAGATTATTGAGTCTTAAAAGGACTAATAGTTATACTTTTTGCAGCATTTACATACCATGTACTCTTTTCCTCACTAGGTTTTTCCCAATGGGTTTTTCTAATGTTGTTTTTAACGAGGTATGAGTATGATATATTAATGGGGAGATTGTATATAAATACTTAAATAGACAAACCCCAAAATCCTGAAGATTATACCTTGAAGGCAAATACTTAAATAGACAAACCCTATAATCTTGAAGATTATGCTTTCAAGGCTTAGGTTGTACTCTTTTTCCCTTAACTAAGTTTTTCCCACGAGGTTTTAAAGCTAAGGTTTTTAACGAGACAATCAGTACAATATATGAATTTACAAATATCATGTACTCTTTTCTTCAACTAGGTTTTTACCACGTGATTTTCCTAGTGATGTTTTTAACGAGGCATGAATGTATTCAAATATACTATCCATATACCCTGTACTCTTTTCTCAAATAGTTTTTTTCCCACAGTTTTCAAGTGTGTTTTTAGTGAGGCATGGTTATAGTAAGATAATGTCCAAGGGAGAGTGTTATAAATAATATTAAGTGTGGACATTATGATTAGAATATGTAACGGCTATAACGGTCAGCATTATTATTGTCATTATTATTAGTCTATTATACATATATTGTACCCCCATTTGTAAGGATGATGATGAATGAATGAAATGGTTAACTTGTCTCTACATTGCTAGTATTATCTTTTCTTTCCTTTGTACTGATTTCCATTACGAATACGTTCTGTTTCTCCGGAGATGGCTTTGAGCTAAAGGTTATAAACACAACAAAACAATCATACTAGCAAATCAAACAATATCCAAAATGCATATAAACAGTGAATGACATTTACTGAATTCACAAAATACAAGTGCAAATATAAG